CGAGAGTCGCGTATTTTTTCAAAATGTCGAAAACTGAGTATCGAAGTGTCATAAAGTTTCTGTTTAAAGAAGGTTTATCCCCTGCCCAAATAAAAGAACGATTGGATGGCGTGTATAAGGAGTCTGCCCCCCTCCTATAGCACAGTGAAAAATTGGGTGAAAGAGTTTCGCCTCGGGAGAGAAACCGTCGAAGACTTTGGCCACGACGGTCGACCTGTGGAAGTGCTCACTCTCGAAACGATTGCTCTTATCGAAGAGGAGCTTCTGAGTGACCGCCGTTTGAAGATTAGAGAAATTGCAGCAAGGCTTGGGCTCTCTAAGAGTACCGTTCATCGCGCGATCCATGAACATCTTCACATGAAAAAAGTGAGTGCAAGATGGGTACCGGAACTTCTTTCAGCGGTACAGAGACAGGAAAGAGTGCGCTGCGCTTCGGAGTTTTTGGATCTTTGTGGCGAAAATGCAAAGACTGTGATCGAGCGGCTAGTGACTGGTGATGAAACTATGATCTTGTATTATGATCCACAAAGCAAGCGCGAGTCAATGGAATGGCGTTATAAGGGTGAAAAGCCCCCTAGAAAGGCAAAGGTGCAACAATCGACTAAAAAACTGATGTGCACAATATTTTGGGATTTTCAAGGCATTTTGATGGTGGATTTTAAAGAACGTAATACAGTCGTGAACGGCGAATATTATGCTTCTTTAATATATAAATTACGAGACAAGATAAAGGAAAAACGAAGAGGCAAGCTGTCTAAAGGTGTCCTGTTGCTCCATGACAACGCCCCTGTTCATACCGCTGGTGTTTCGAAGGATGCAGTTCGTCAATGCGGGTTCACAGAAGTTCAACATCCACCTTAAAGTCCAGACATGGCCCCGTCCGACTATTATTTATTTCCAAATTTAAAGCGGGACTTAAGAGGAAGAAAATTTTCAAGCGATGAAGAGTTGCAGGCGGCCGTCTTCAGTCATTTTGAGGATAAAAAATGTGATTATTTTTATAAAGGTTTAGAGATGTAGATTCACAGATGTCAGAAGTGTGTTAGTATTCATGGTGATTATATTGAAAAATAAAATTGGTTTCGTTTCATTTCCTTCATTGGTTCATAGTTAGGCCAATTCATTATGGGACCGCCTACGTATACTTTCGCGCCAAGCGCCTGGACGAACGGACGTTCGTGCAGTCTTGTTTTAAAATAAGTTAGTACGATCTACTAAAATGCCTTTCGAGTGGAGAAACGAAAATATAATTAAGTTTTTAGAACTGCTGGAATCAGAAAAAACTATATGGGATTTCAACGATAAAAACCATAATTCATCATTTTCTTCACGAATTTTCTTTTTGAGATAACATAATACCTATGTACCACAAACTAATAAGAGTACTAACGTATATGTACATAATTATTTATAAATTCGTTAAATTTATTACATAAAATTTAGTTTAAGGAATTAATGAAAATTGACATTTTATTTCTAAAACCAATTAGTTACTCATATTGATTATTTATTTATTAAAACGTAAAATAATGTATTAAGGCCGAATACGAAGAGAACTGGCGAAAATTAATGTATTTCTCTTGACTAGAACTTTGACCTGAAGTAATTCTAAGCTTTAAAACATTTTTGTAGGTTTGTTCGGGTCCTTCACAATGTCACCGTCATTTTAAAATTTTAAAATAAATGAATATACCAACAAATAAAAAATGTTAAAAAATGATATATAAAATTATTGTTCTTCCAAAACTCTGTGAATTTTAATTTAGGAAAAATTCTTTTACGTAAAAATGTTTGTATTGTAATTCCGAAGGTACCTGCTATCTTTATTTTCGATACAAAATATTATTTATTAACATAATTCGTTTGAATTAAAAACACCTAATACTAATATCGTATATTGCCAGATAAAAGTTTGCCGTAATAAATTACCAGGCGCTTCGACGTGTGACGTAAGGTAACAACAGTCGATGTGTCTGTAGCGAAAATCGTTAATTTATTGTTTTATACGCGTTTAAGTGTCTATAAATGTAAGTATGGGTAGGAAAAGAAATAAATGTTACCTAAGTGGTAAAACAAAGAGAGTTTATCGCATGAACGCTGCTCGAATGTTGTATTTTGAGGTTAATACTTATATTTAGTAAGGTAATTTTTTGTTTGAGGCTGCCTAATAGGTTGCATTTTTACTCATTTACATTAGCCAAACTGATTATTTATACTTTTAGTTTCAAGTGAGAAACACTAAAAATTTAAAATATCAAGACCCAGTCGTAAAAAAATGTACAGAGTAGTGTAAGCACAGAGACCGCAAATAATGTCAGTCAATGTATTGTCCGAAAGCATGGGGTAAAAGTACATAATTAAGAAAAACTGAAATACTTCGGATGTGAAGTGATTGACCAGTCGGAGTAGTCTTGTGAGAATTTACATACACAGTACCTATACCCACTATGGGGCAATCACCGACTTTTTAGTTTTTTTTTCTTTATTATTTATGCAATTTGCATTACGGCATCTTGTAAGACTCACAAGAACAAACATTTTCAGTTATATGAGATTCTTTACGTACGATGCACCAATTAAGAAAAAAAAATCGTTATCAATTCAATAACTTTTCGAACAATATTTTATAACGAATAAAGTACAGAATTTATAATCTATTGGAACTAATATTATAAATAAGAAAAATTTATTTAAGAAGTAAGCAATGCTCTCTGTGTTGTTCATTACTCTGCATCTGAGCTAGTTCAGTCAAATATAATCAAAGCCCGTACGGCTTTGATTATAGGTATTACGGCGCCTCTACACGTTGGCCAACACAGTGGCGAATGTAGTGGCCAATAGCATTGGCCAACGTGTAGACGGGGTGTTTGGGCTTCATTTGTATGTATTGGAACGATGGCCCGCAAGTTGGCGCGAGATCCGTGTGGTGTCGGTTTTTTACAAAAGATCAAAGGATTGTTGGCAGAGTTTGGTCGCCGCGTCCACACGTTGGCCGCGCGTTTAGTTTGCTACAAGCTCCCAGAGTGATTACACGCATCTGATTTAATTTTATATTCAAGCTTTGTAGGGTGGATGCCCCCATTATCAGCCTTTTAGTGCCAATTTCAACTTTAAACATTCCTACTACTTTAATTAGCGCGATTTAATTATTATTGAACATTTGTTTTAATCAATAAGCTACTTATCAAAAAAAATTAACGTTTTTTTTACAATCAGATTATTACGAGAACAATTTTAAAATGAAAAAAAAATGAAGCACGTCGTTTATACGTGGTAGAACCATGCAATTATATTAGAAGTATTGTTGCAGCACGAAGGTCAGCTCGACCGGGGAAGGAGTGATTACACGCACCTGATTTAAATTTTATATTCACGCTTTGTAGGGTGGTGCCCCTATTAGCCTTTTAGTGCTAATTTCAACTACTACTTTAATTAGCGCGATTTAATTGTTTTTAAATATTTGTTTTAATCGATAAGCTATTTATCAAAACAAATAATGAACATTTATTTACTATCAGATTATTACGAGGACAGTTTTAAAATGAAAAAAAATGAAGCACATCGTTTATATGTGGTAGAACCATGCAGTTATATTAGAAGTATAGTTGTAGCACGAATGGGTCGGCTCGACCGGGGAAGGACCACGCTCTCACAGAATATCAGCGTAAAATAGTAGCTTAATGATGCTGTGTTTCGTATAGTGAGTGTAGAGAACCAGAGACCCTTTTTAAAGGAAACGAGGCATTTCATCTTAGTCCTCATGGGTGACAACGCATATGCATTTTGATTCGTAATCGAGGATAGATGTAGATGTCTGTGGGCCACAGTAACCACTTACCATCAGGTGAACTGTGTGCTCGTTTGTCACACTATCCTATAAAAAAAAACCGACGATTTCTTATAATTTAATCGTGCAAGATTTCGAATCATCATCATCATTACAGCTGTTCACAAGTCTACTACTGAACATCCTCCTCCACAGACAGCCGCAAAGCATGGTCCTGAGCCACTTTGCTCGTCATGAGTTTTTCATTTATGTTCTAAGTTATAATTAGTACCTATTATTAAGTCAATGTTAATTATATTTATTGCTATTGTTTTTATCTTTCTCAAAAAATAATTAAATTACCAAATAAATTATATGGTGTTTTTATATACATCAAATGTCTGATAGAAATGCAAGTAGGTACATATTTTGCTAAACTTTAAAATCAAAACCCAATTTTAAAACATAGACTAATCGATTATAACTACTTTAACTTTAAAATAAAAATAAAGTTAAGTTCTTATTAATGGTATTTATTCCAGTTTATGATGCAAGTAAAAATAAATAAAGCTAATTGTATATCGTATATCTATTTACAGCCCCATTAATAACCACTATTATTTTAGAATTCTTTTATAAAAACGTTAACCCCACACTAGGATTTTCTCCCGTATCACGCAGGCAGTTTACAAACATAAATTGCACAAGGACACACATCCAGACCCGAAACAATTATTTGTAGGACATACAAATACTTGTTCCGTGCGGGATCAAACCCGCGGCGCTCGGCGCAGCCACTCATTGCTGAGCCACTGCGCCACGGTGCTTATAAATTCGTCCGCACATTGGCCCGAACGGAAGTAAACTGAACGACCTTCCAACGTGTGGACGCCGTCACCAACTCTCGGCCAATATATTCGCCACTCCATTCGCCACTGTGTTGGCCAACGTGTAGAGGCGACATAAACAAAGCGTAGGTACTGGCGGCGCGTGGTTTGCTGCGAAACTAGCAAGGTCATTCGCGTCGTATTCGGCCTTAAGTTAAATGGTAATATTTGCATGAGATTTGTAAATTATAATTTTATTGTAATAAAAATTATGAATTAATTGATACAGTAGTGTAATTATTAAAATAATGATAGCTTAACTAATCTCATATAATATTTAATGTTATTTATGTAACAATAATGTAATAATTCAATTAAGGGCCCCTTTTCCCGAAAGTTTAGGCATTTTACGGTCTGAGACGGCTCGCGCCCGCGTTGCACAGGAGCCGGCGCGATATGAACTTGGGTGACCTATGGAGGCGGGCGAGCACGCCACAGTATAAATAAATCAGTAGTTCGATTTTGTTAGCTATCCTAGGAATGTTGTTGATAAATAAATTAACTACTTATCCTATACTATTAAACGAGCAATATTTGTATATTTATATTTATATATATATATTTTAAACGTTACCCCTACACTAGGATTTTCTCCTGTATCGTGGGGGCAGTTTACAAACATAAATTGCACAAGTACAAACATCCAGACCCGGAACAATTATTTGTAGGCCATACAAATACTTGTTCCGTGCGGGGATTCGAACCCGCGACCCCCAGTGCAGCCACTCATTGCTAAGCCACTACGCCACGGAGTCGTCAATATATATAAATATATATATATATATATATTTAGATGAGTTCTCGAAAACGGCTCTAACGATTTCATGAAAGTTTCAATTTAGGCGTTTACGGGGACGAAAAATCGATCTAGCTAGGTCTCATGTATGGGAAAAATCGTTTTCGCCCGTTTTCGCCCTATTTTCACGCATAAAGATTTACCCGCGCAGTATGTTTCGTAATTTCGCCGCTATTGTTACGTAGCCAAGCGGTTATAGTGTCGGCCTATGAAGTCTACGCTGAAGAAAGGTTCGGGTTCGAATCCCCATGCAGACTTTTTGTTTTCGTTTGATCAATTTTTATTTAGTTTTTTTATTTGTACATTTTTTTTGTTGTTTATTGTACTTATAATTTTTTTGTATTTTATTTTTGTATAGAAACGAAATTCACAGAATACATCTACCTACTAAGTTTCAAATATGTAGTCCGAATAGTTTCGGAATAAAAGGCTGTGACACACGGACGGACGGACGGACAGACATACATGATGAATCTATAAGGGTTCCGGTTTTTTCCATTCGGCTACGAAATCCTAAAAAAGCTTGAAAAGGCTTCTTTATAATCATTTACAAAAAATATCCCATTTAGATTGCCAAGGGCCTTGGAGATCGAACCTGGTGATCCGAGGAATTTGGGCCGTGGTATGGGCATAAGAAATCTGACAATTGAAGAATACAAATATTAATAATAGGTAAAACTGGAATGGAATAAATAAATTTACAAAATTTCAAAAAGCAAAAAAAATTAATTACTAGAGTTAGTAGGTATGCAAAAATATAGGTGAATATTACTATAGGATTTAAAATTCTTGTCATACTGACTTCGCTAGTCTGTGTAGCTTAGCTAGATTACAGTAAATTATATTGTGACGAATCCACCCACTAAATAGTGGAACATTAGAATACGAAAATAAAAATTGTCATACTGATTTAGCTAATCTATGTCCCTGTTAAAGTAGATATCTAATTATTCCAATATGTATTTTTTTATTGTAAATGACCTGTTGATGTTACGCTAGGGCTAGGTTATAGGAACTTACGAGTATAACCTAGCCCTAGCGTAAGTACTTACGCAATACACTTTCGGATCTTCTTCACTTTCACGACAACGTAGTCGCGAGCAAAAATAGCACAAGTCCTCCCTCGATGACGTCCGGCTGGACACTGGCACAAATTATAAAGTTGTATGTACAAGACAGATAGGACAGTACGTCGCCGTAGCGAGTTTGGAGGGCAAGCTTTTTCCCGCTAGATGGCTACCTTGTTAGTGTTGGGGTGTATAGATTATCCATGATATCGATAGATTTTGCAGCGATAGGGATGTGAATTGAGTTTATCGATTTCTTTTATTTTCATTATTCTTTATTAGTTATATTAATAAGGGAAAGGAATTTAAAAAAAAAACATATTTGCAAGTTTCATTTTTTATATTTTCTTTGTTTTAACCATTTTATGTGCTATTTTTTGAATATATGGTGCATCGTTAAAATTAATTACACAATGCGATCCATTCAATATTCTGTTTATTGTTCGGCACCAGTGAAATACTTGGATTTTAGCCCCAAGAAGTAAAAATTTTTTTTTGATTTTGTCATGGTGCTCTTGGCAGCCTATCCATTCCAAATTATTTTGAGTAATAAATTTTTCGGATATATTTTTAATAATATTTCCTTTGTGGCAAGTATTATTTAATACCACATTACTTAAATCAACTAATTTTGAAAATGCTACAATAAATCTTGTACTAGGGTACATAAGATTTTTCCCTTTAAGGTGCTTTCGTTCTCTGTGTCTAATTAAATCATGGACACTAAGCTGCTGATCCTCATTATTTAAAAATGTTTTTTTGCAATTTTTACATTTATTTTGACAGTTTTCTTATAATATATCCTGAAGTGTAACTCCTCGCATTTACATTTATTTTTTCTTCAAATATGGAGGAGACCATATTTCCTGATAAATTTACTTCAGATGAACAACTAAGGTTTCTATTATCATTACTATCGGGAACTGGTTGTTCATCTGAAGCAAATTCCTCATTCAATAAAGTTGTTATGTTTAATATGGTCTCCCCCATATCATCTTCACAATTAAAATTTTTTGTGTGGATGGCCAGCATGTCCGTCATTAATAATGACTTAAAAGAGTTTCGGAACGAAAATGTATCGGGGTTGGTATATCTATAATTATATGCTCTTATTTTGCCAAAGAAATTTTCAAGGGGGTTTTGATTTAGGTTTCTCGTGTAAAAGAAACTGACCCCCCTCCGATTGCATTATTTCACTTACTCTTATTAGGCTTTCTAGTGTTGTAACCCAATTGTTTAATGTTGGTACATTTTTTATTGTAGCCTTTTCTAAAGAATTTTTTGGAATGAAATGCATTTTTTTTAAACTTCTTAATGGCTTCAATCCAAAATGCTTTGTGGGCACTATTCAGTTTGACTGGACCTCGTATTTTTCCTGGAGCCCTACCAGACCTCGAACCATTGCAACTGTCGAACAATTGGTCAAAGAAAGCAACTGCTGCAGCTGTATTTTTTGTTGTTTCACTGATTTGTGTTCCGTCATGTCGCTGAGCTGGAACAAAAAACATGAAATTAGAATTACTTTTACATGATGTATTTTTACTTACATGTAACAGGCAATCTTTACTCATGTTTATTACAAAATAATTTTTTATGAAATTAATAATAACTAAACAAGAAAAATCAATTTACATTTTATTTAAATCTTTCCAACTCCAAATGAACATTAAACCCCAAAGTTCATCTTTAGAGACAGTTGAGTTATTTAAATTGCCACAAACACACATTCATAGACTGCAAATCTCACAGAGAAGAAGTAAAAACTAAACTATCAAAAGTTATATGATAAACAATATGATGGGCATTGATGGGATCATACTGTAGCCCAAACAGCTTGATGGATTTTAACATTTGGGTATCATCAGATATTTGTCTTAGTTGTGGATGTGACATAGGAAATTAAAAAAGGACATAAAGTTAGCTTTACGCGTACACAATCACAAACCCAATATTCCATTAATCGCTTTTTACATGGTAGCCCATAATGTTATACATTGACCAAAGTATAAGAAACTCACAATTTCAAGGATTGTCTACAAAAAATATATCAGCATCAAGCATAAAAATAATAAAATACTCTATTCAGAGTTCTTTTGGTTGGTAAAGAGAATAATTTTTGTAGAAGGGAATACCCCTTAGGGCTCTGTTTATACAGCGCAATGCTCATTAATTTTTCATCAATATTATACCTTCTTCCTTTTGAAGCTTTACCAGCAAACCTCAGCTGCAATGCTATAAACTGTTTTGGGAAGAAATCTAACTTTTCTATTAATTTTCTAAAACTTTTGGTATTGCTAAGAATTTCTGCATGAGCAATGTTTTGTTTGTTATCTTCATTACTTGTAAACAATCTCTTTCTTTTAATCATATCTTTACACTTAAAGTACAACCTTCGACATCTTGGAGTTAAGTTGTTAATATTGGTTACAAGTCGGGGTCTACTTTTTACAAGCTTAATACATTTGTTTTTATCACCTGGAAAAAAATATGTATGAGTGATATTGTAATCAGTATTACAAATGGTTCATATAAAATAAATATTTTTATTTAACTGTTGGCATTGTTCTAACTTTTGACTATAAAAAAGTACACATGTATGTAAAAACATTAACACTAGGAAACTACATGTTAAATTACAATTAATATGACTCTTATTTTACAATCTGGTATAAAGAAAGATCACTATGATGCTCAGGTATTTTGTGATCATAGTGGAAAATAAAGTATGAAATTATGTATAAACATTTAACATTACATTAATTTAAAATAAACTTACTGTGTTGAATTGTCGATGGCTTTGGTGAAATGGGGACATCATAACTTTGCTGAGAAGTTGATGGTTTTGGCGACATGGAGATGTAATAACTTTGCTGAGAAGTTGATGGCTTTGACAACATGGTGATGTCATCTGACACAGAAGTCTCTCCAGTATTTTCTCTTTTACTATTTTGTGAATTATCTAAATTAACTGCAATTAAAATAATTACTTTATAACTTTATTTTTATTTTTAATTGTATACCAAAATACAGGAAAATGAGTAGAGTTCAATCTAAAGTATAATATGAACAACAAGCGTTCTTGTCACTCTGAAAGTGATCTCTCCCAGACGACCTTTGCATAGAGGACCACATCTCAGATCCATATGTTATCAATGGCATTATACACTGGTTGTATAATCTTGTTTTCAAGTTTTGAGGTATATATGACAAGATGTGTCATAATCTTCACACGCTGCCCAGCTGAGTTGGATCCGTTGATTGATGTCTAGGTTAAAGTTGGACTTTAAAGTTGGACTTACTTAATCGGACAATTTGTTCAAGGTAAACATATGTGTGATGTGTACATAATATATATCAAGCTAATATTAAAAAAATATTTACCCAGCATGTATTCTTTACTATATTTTGGCTTTTTAATTATTTCAGGAGCTGCTTCTTCCATACCTTGCCTTCTTTTACAGTAAGTATGATCATAATAGTCAGTGATGGATTGACCTGAAATAAATATCACTTTAGCTATTTTGTAATATAAGATAGCTTTTAAAACAGTGATTATAAAACCAAAAAAAAATTTTGCATAAGAACATGCAATATATTTAGTATCATATTTTCTTCAAACTCTACTCTCATGGTTAATATTGCATTGATAAATAATTTAAACCACTGCCTCGGGTATAATTCAGTCTTTATCAAATATATTTCTAAATTTGGCTCTAAATGGGAAAGATATTTTCGTACTTACTGGGTACTCCACAAGCTATTTCTTCTTCAGTCAGTAGAGTAGGATAACCGTGGTATTTCCTCGTGAAGCCATCAAGATATTGATGTTCGAAATGCCTGATACAAATCTTCTTTTTGGCTAATTGTTTCGATGACAGTTGAAGAAGTTCAGGGCTATGAGGAGCGACATAAGAAAGCCAAAGGCTTTGCATGTTTTTGTCTCGAGGAAAGTAAAACATTACTATATCCTTGGCAAGACAAGAGTTGACACAACACACGGTAATAGGCATTATTTAACCCTACGGCACTAGTAGATAATAACACCAAAAAATATGAGTTCTATCTCTAAAATGAGTCCTGTCTCTTATAAGTCACTGAATCAACAGCACCACAAAGATTCGACGAGATAACGGAGGAACTGAAGCTCAACTCAACGTTGCTAGTGAATTTGTAGAGCAGTAACCAAAAAAATACAGAAACGTGTACGAGTCTTACGATTCGACAGCGATTTGTAAAAAACTAAAAAAAAGATTGCTACTTTCAAGTGTCAACATTTAACTGACATTTGTCAAAATAGGAAGTCTGTGGCGCCACCAAGTGTTGATTTAAGAGTGCCCTCCAAACTCTTAAGTTTTAAAAAAATGTTCTAGCTGTCAACGCCGTGGACACTGGCGGCACTGGCGTGGTGCGCGCGAGTCGCTTTTTACGTATTTTATTTTATATGGAAAAAAATAAGTGCCAAATTATAAATCTATCTAATAATATCCCTGTCAAACCTGATTAGTAAATGAAATATAAAATTTTCATAAATATAGCGTTCCCCTAATTCTCATAAAACTGAAAATGCTTTCAAAATCGATGTTACTTCTGATTTTTTTTTTATCGAGTTAAATGTTTAATATTGTGTTTTTATCCAAAAAAGTCAATAGATCAAACGTTTATCTGTACTATATATTTTTTTAGGATTTTAAATATGATGATTTCTTTGAAAACAACACGATTTAGAAACATAAATTTGGGAAAAGGGGCCCTTAATAATTTATGAACAATTTATTGTATAAGAATTCAAATAGAGTGGATCTGTATAAGTATTTAATTGTAATGATAAGAATGTTTGTACATAACTTAAAAGCATTGAAATAATTTTAATTTTGGGTTTGTATAATTAGCTGTATTTCATATAATTTTTGCATGCCAATTATGGCAAAACATGTTAGTTCCACGTCATTGATCATCTTATGTACCTACCATGTTTTTAAAGCAAATAAATTTTCTATCTATCTATCTATCTTCTTTTGAATTTGATATCTTTTTGAATTATTAACATAATTTTGTATTTTTTTATAGAAGAGGGGGCAAACGAGCATGCGCCTCACCTGATGTTAAGTAACTACCGCCGCCCATGATCAACCGCAACACCAGGGGAATTGCAGGTGCGTTGTCGGCCCTTTAGAAAGGAGTAAGCTCTTTTCTTGAAGGTCCCCAGGTCGTATCGGTCCGGAAAAATCGCCGGTAGTAAACTATTCCACAGAGAGGTTGTACGCGGAAGAAAACTCCTTTTGAAACGTACAGTGGTGGACCGCCAAGCATCCAGATGGTGTGGATGGTATCGGGGAAATTTGGCCGCTGGGATTAATCTGAACAATTCCTCAGAGCACTCCCCATGGTATATGTGAAAGAAAGTGCAAAGAGATGCAACATCTCTTCGCAGCGCCAGTGAATCGAGCCGATCGGAAAGCACTCGGTCGTCGACGATTCGAGCCGCTCTGCGCTGGACGCGGTCAAGTGGAAGGAGCCAGGTTGGGTACTGGGGAGCCCCAGCCCAGAGATGGGAACAGTATTCCATGTGCGGCCGAACCTGCGCCTTGTAAAGTTGCAGGTGGTATGCCGGCATGAAATACTGCCCCGCTCTGTTGAGCACGCCAAGCTTTTTAGAGGCCAATTTGGCCTTCTCTTCCAAGTGACCACGAAACTGCACGTCACTCGATATGTCGACGCCGAGGATTCCGATACTGACTGAGGCAACAAGGGGAGTGCCTTGAAACTGAGGAGATACGACAAAGGGGTTCTTTTTAGCGGTTAATGCGCAAACGTGTGTCTTGTGTATTACAAGAAGACACAGCGCGGACGCTGTAATTATTTCGACGTCTGCCATAGTCGAAAGTCGGAAGTGATGTGATTCAGTATATAGTGATCTGTGATGTGAGTGGTATGGCAGAATGTAAATACACACTTCTCTCGATCCTGCTACGGCAGTATTTACCGAAGTATGTCCGGCAGCGCGAGGAGTAGTGGCAGGGGCTGAATGTAGTGGCTTTTCAACTATTCTTCTATGAATGGAGGTTAGAGAACAGGAGAACGATCGCTGTAGAAAATAGTGTCCCAGAAATATGGACAAAATAAGTGAGACGCTGCGATCGCTAAGTTGTCTCAATAAAAGCGGGCTGTTGTGCGCTAGTTTGAAATGATTATAATATCATTCAAAGAAAAAAAGGAAAATAATAATAATAATCTTTGTTTCAGACCAAAATTAATCGATAGTAGTGTTAGTAACAAATGACTTCTAGTGTTGGTAAACATTAAAGTGTGGACAAACTTTTCAAAATCGAAGAATTATAGTTCTCCGCTACTGTTTTTAAAATGCTGTTGTGACTGTCTCTCACCCTTCTTAGCAGCGAAGCTGTTTTGAATGAAATCCGTCCGTGCTAGTTTGCGCAAACATCTCCGACGCACTGCAGTACCGAGGTCACTGCAGTACCGAGGTCCCAACAACGTTCTGAAAGCGTTATTGTATTGAACACGCAGGACATCCAGCGACCTTTTAGTGTAATTGACATATGGATTGCTTGTATACAGACTGTGGCAGTATGTCTTAAATAGGGTAATTTTAACAAGGTCCGTACATCGAGCAAATCTACAGGCCAGCATGTTACTCCTGACCGCTAGAGCCCTGCGTTCCCTCTCAATATCTACATTGTCTTTAAGGTCATCGGCAAGAAAATGACCTATGGTTGATAAAAGATAGCTTCCCCCCGTGACCATGGGCGTAAGGTTAATATTTTAATTAAAATATGTAAATAATAGTTTTTTCAATTTAGTGTTCCGTAAATTTAAGAAATCATTAAAAGATAGCTTGATCTCTGCGACAGCTGTCAGTAAAAATCACGTCTATGAAGTCCTGAATTTCTTAGTAGTACAGACACGTAGACAGAGAATGCTATAGACAAAGTGATATCTTTTATCGCAGTCAAGGGTATTAGTGTTATGTGCTAGGTACTAGGTAGCAGTTCGGATAAGCGGTCGTTCAGTTGATCGACTTTAGGATAATCGACGCTCTACTGTATTTAAAAAAATGATTTTTTTTTCAATTTTTATATTTACGTTATACACCTGTTCAACGTATTTCGAATTATAAATTTATCAATAAATCTATACCTACAAATAAAGAAAACTAGGGAAGTTAATGAAGATTAAGTGAATTTGTTTTTATTTATTATTTAGTGTAGTGTACAAATATAAGATTTTAGTTAGACTCATTTTCCGCCATGTCTAATCTAATACCCATATCGCTCGCGCTCTGTTGCACACGGTGAATCTAGCCACCAATTTAAAATAAAATCAATACTTAGATGGAATACAAATTATAACACTAACATGATAATACAACAATATGTTATAAAAAATATGATTCTATTTAACATTAGCAAACGTAACCTATAGCTCAGAACACCTTTGTTTATTTCTTTAACATAAAATTATGCTGTCCGTGTGAAGAATCAGAAGATTTATTGATTTATAATAATTACCTTATATTTTACAAAAGTAGCAATGATAATGATTGTCTGAAAATATTTCTGCTGATCGTACATTTGCAAATGTGTTTGGCAGTTAACACCCTTGCTAGCGTCTGTAACTATGTAACGAATTAGAATTGGCATGTTTAACTTCAGGAATCGATTTATCATCAGATAAAACTCAAGTTCATTAGAACTTAAGTTCGTTTTCAAAAAAGTCGGATTTTTTAATTTGTCAAGTTACCTTTGTCCACTTAGCCCTTCAATTTTTCAATACTCTACAGCAGAGTTCCCCAAACTTTTTTGTGTCGTAGACCCCTTGCCATGTTTTTCCGTGTTGGGTAGACCCCCTCATCATCATCATTACAGCCCTTCACAAGTCCACTGCTGAACATAGGCCTCCCCCAAGTAATGCCACAAAGCACGGTCCTGAGCCACCTGCATCCATCGACTTCCTGTATATCTTACCAGGTCGTCACTCCATCTAGTGGGGGGTCGCCCTACACTACGCCTACCGGTACGAGGCTGCCACTCGAGAACCTTTTTTCCCCATCGGTTATCGGTTCTTCGAGCTATATGGTCGGCCCATTGCCACTTCAGCTTACTAATCCATTGGTCTATGTCGGTCACTCTGGTTTTACTGCGGATATCCTCATTTCTGAGTCTATTACGCAGAGAAACTCCGAGCATAGCCCTCTCCATAGCTCGCTGAGCGACCTTGAGCGTCCTCATACGGCCAGCAGTGAAGGACCACGTCTCAGATCTGTAAGTCATCACTGGCAACACGCACTGGTTGTACAATCTAGTTTTTAGAGATTGAGGTATACCTGACGAGAAAGATATGTCGTAAATTTCCGAACGCTGCCCAGCCGAGTTGAATCCGTCGATTGACTTCTCGGTCGAAGTTGGACTTACCTAGTAGGACTATTTGTCCCAGGTAAACGTACTCGCCAACAACTTCGAGCATAGTGCTCCCAACAACTACCGGCATAGGTGTGACATGGACATTAAACATAATCTTTGTTTTGTCCATGTTCATCTTAAGACCTATCCGTTGGGAGGCACTATTGAGGTCATTGAGCATAGTGCTTAAGTCCTCCAGCGATTCTGCCATAAGGACTATATCGTCGGCAAATCGAAGGTGAGTGATGTACTCGCCATTGATGTTAATACCGTATCCTTTCCAGTCCAGTAGCTTGAAAACGTCTTCCAATGCAGCGGTGAAGAGTTTCGGGGATATAACATCACCCTGTCTTACACCTCTCTGCAGTTGGATAGGTTTCGAGCTCTGGTTCTGTACTCGGATAGCCATCGTAGCCCTACTGTACAAACACTTCAGCACTTCGATATACCGACAGTCAACTTGGCACCGCTGAAGGGACTGTAGCACCCCCCCAAATTTCGACGGAATCAAAGGC